CGGCTGCGGCGACCTCAACAAGCCCGGCGTGTACAGCCGCTTCAACACTGCTCGCGCCTTCATCGAGCCGTACTTGAAGAAGAAGAACTTGCGCGTGCCTTACTTGGTGAGCGAATTCGCTGAAGAAACCGATGAGGCCGTGGTGGACAGCGACGTCGTGTCGGCGCCGGAAGGGGGAAATTAAGCGTGGTGTACTTTGTTTGTTGCGTAACGTTAGTTGGTCCAAATTAACTGGAAATACTGTTGGTACGACTGTCAGTAACGTGCTTGTCATGTCTTCGAATTTACGAAATGATTGTGTACTAACCTTAGTAGTAGCTACTGTAATGTTGTATGCTGTCAGGAAGCAGCAGTAATGTTAGAAAGGAATGGTTGAGCATTTTATGTAATATGTAGTAGTTTGAAGTATGATGCATTTGCATGAGTTTGTATACATTTCGCAGTTCGCACAATGATATGATGGTGTTAAATCGGTTAACCTGTACGATACCGTATATCTGAGGGGGGATTGAGTTATCTCCAACTCCGACCTGACGATTTCTTGTACGTACAGTACGCATCGACATGTTGAACATTTGGAGCTGCTATATCAAGAAAAAACAGTAGTATGAGATGCCTGATTCGGTAGGACCAACTTGTATCCGGAGACGTTGTAGGTACTAGTATATTGTACTTTGGTGTAACATCCTTTGGACGGCATCTCATGGCGCGAACGACTGGGTAATGCTTGGGATGCCAGGATCTTCCTAGGTTGAAACCCGTGAGATGCCCACAAAAGCATCCATACATACCAATAGTACTTCGCCTCGATGCTCGTCGTGGAGGGTGAAGATGAAACGATCGTCGCATCATTTGCCGATCAATGTGTTTAATCGTACACGTCTGCTGATACGAGTTTACACTGCATTGTTTCAGGGAACAAAAGAATAAAGATGCACTGGTATGTATAGATCTTCATGAAAGCCCAAGTTTGGCAGCCTAAACGAAAGTCCCACACGACGGGGAATGGCATCCTCTCAAGCCCCGGCAAAGCCCCCACTTAGCTTTTCAGTGTTCAGTCAAGTTAGACAGACTGCATCTTGTTACACCCACACTGTAATAGTGTTAGAGGCTGTATATGCAGTGATTGAGAAATAAAATGCAATCTGTCTAGCATTAGGGGGCCAAGAAGGGGCGAATGCCAAGGTAGTCCTAGAGCGTGGTATTGTGCAAGTCCAAGCGGCTCCCGGTACGTCATACAGTCATCAAGGGACTGTTTAGACAGAATGGTGCCTGGTTATTGGCGTCGGCGTGTGGGATGCCATGTGCATCGTACTCGCAGAGGAAGCGCCCCAGTATGGCATGACACTATATCGCCCCCACAAGCAGCGGATCCAGTCCTACAGCACCGTACAGGAGATTTGCACCCCTTCGGTGCGCAATGGGGTCGAGTCGAGCGATGGAGGGTGATCCTAAGAAGCGGTGACAAGTCGTTGGCACGGTGGGCTCGTAGGAGAAATCGGAAGGTCCCGGCTGGAGGTGGATGACGGATATTGTTGTACACAGCGGTTGATTCGTAGCTTACAAAGGGCGAGGACTCAAACGAGTTACCATGCTTGACAACCATATTCTATGTCATATGTTTAGTTGGACTACAGGGTCAATCCATAGGCCAAGAATTACAGGCAGGAGTTGGGCGTAGGGCGAAGCTTGTATGTGTTGGACAGAAGTGGCGTTAAGGGGATTGGAGCGAGTCCGAAAAGGGAAGGCTTGATCGTGGTGCATGACCAATTCTAGTTCTCCTTGAAGATGATGATGTGGCCCCATATCACTAGGCCATTGGCAATGTATACGGCGTACCAGGGTATAATTGATGACAGGTGTGTCTTCTGTCTCTGGGTTTAGCGTGTACTGTATGGACTTTTAAAGCCACATAATATCGATTCCAAATTCTACGAAACTTGTACTACAGTACCGGTAGTATACGGCTGAGTACTATTAATAGATTCTCATAATGTGTTTGTGCGACAGCGTACCTCATCGTTACTCACTACGGAGTACTTGGCGAGTTTTGAGCAGTCAATACAATTGTCCTCCAATTCCTTTCCATGTTAAGGTGACTTCGTTGCCAACGTCAATAGCATCGACGATGTCCTGACCAAGCAAGCTCGTCGTTTGGTCGAGAATGGTTCGACAAACGTATGAGCAACTTGTTCTACGTCACAGGTTGGAAATATTCGCATATACTGTAATATTAAAATGGTAATGAACCCTCCTGACCAGACGTTCCAAAACGTGTGCGACATGGTGCTACCAATGGTCAATGGATTTGCCGAGTCGCCTTTGCATAGGTTCACCTTCCCAACCATCTATTATGTCGGATGAGCCAGCTACAGAAGGAGTACTCACAATGAGAATACAACCCGCTTGAGGCCACGCATGACGGAATTCCAATATCAAGCTTTGGACCAACTCCACTGTGAACTGTCCAACTGTAGTGTCGTCGAGCTACCTGTCTAATATCACGATGAACACATCGAGTTTCAACATCATTAACCCAATTACACAAATATACAATGTACTACAGAATATCTAGATTTCTCCTTCAAGGGCGGACACAACGTCGCTGTTCACCACATCGTCCGCCACGACCTCTTCCGAAGCTTCGACGTCCTCCCCGACCAAGTAAGGCACGCGTAAGTTCTTCTTCTTCAAGTACGGCTCGATGAACGACCGAGCAGAGCTAAGACGACCGTACACGCCGGGCTTGTTGAGGTCGCCGCAGCCGAGGCCCCAGCTGACCACCCCCACGAGGCGCGCGACGCCGTTCTGTTCGATGGTCAACGGTCCCCCCGAGTCGCCCTGGCACGAGTCTTCGCCTTGCTTTCCCCCCGCAGCCAACATGCTGTTGTCCACCTTGCTGGGGCGCAGGGCCGTGGTGGCTCGGGCGTTGTCCCACGACAGCACGCTCACTTCCTTGAGCACCCTGGACTGGGAGCCGCCGGACGACGTGGTGCCCCACCCGCGCACCCACGTGAGTACGTTGGCAGGAACTGTGTCAAACGACACCGCCACGGGCGTGATACTCGTGATGCTGCGGTCCAAGAGGAGGATGGCCACGTCGTTCGAGTGCGTCGCCGCGTTGTATTGAGGGTGGCGGATCTCCTTGGTGATTTTGACCACCTCCCCGTCGGACGAGCCGGAGAGGAAGTGCGAGCCCACGACGGCGGTAGTGAGGCCGCCGCCCGTGCAATGCGCCGCCGTGAGGATGACGTTGGGGGCGATCAGACTGCCGCCACAGCTGGACGAGGACGTGGCCGAGTGCTTGAGGCCCGCTAGGTACCGGTGTTGGCCGACCTTGGCTTCGGTGCCGCCGACGATTTCGATAAAGTTGTTGTCAGGGGCGACGTCATCTTGGGCCAAGACGGTGGCGGAGAGGGTGGCGAGGGCGAATGCGAACTTCATGGAGGCAATTGGAAAATGAACCAAGCTCTGCCAGTTCATGGTGGTTATCGAACGAGTTGGGGATGGAAATGCTGAGGGTGAACTCAGATACTATTGGCACTGTATTCCAAGGGTGAGACAACTCGCTGGGTTGTGTGGATGGAACGCCAAATAAAGTGCATTGGTTTCTTCGGTGTACAAGTAACAATGAAGTTTGAATTATACCTGGGGAAGTACGAGTATCGAGGCTGAAGGGCTTGTATGAGTAGCGTTGAGTAGGGTTTCGAAATCAAGGCGAACGATTGAAATACTCGTAGTGGTGAGTCATGCATATGAATGTTGCTATGAATTGCTAGAATAGATGCTCAGTAGGTAACGTAGATGGCCAGTTTATGGTGTCCGGGACAGTTTAAGGTGCACTCAAATTGGCCAATGGAATTGCTTGATGTTTGGAGTAGCCAATCGAATCACTAGATAAATGAAATCACTAAAAATTAAGCAAATACAGCATACATATTTTAAGCTTAACCCGTGCACCATAAACCGTCCCTCCTATTTTGCCTTGAATTGAGTGAAATCGAAGTAAATGAACGCTAAGCTGAAGTCTATTCAAGCCGATTAAATAATCAGAAGAATGCCCAACCTTTCGGCTTCATGCAACACTTTTCAGAATTGAAATCCCGGTCCTGGGAGACGAGTACGCTGCATTCTACAACGAAGGCTCTTTCAAGTGCACCATAAACTGGTTACGTTACCAGTTTCAATATATCGAGCCGGGGTTGTCAGCGGAATCAGATTCACTTCAATATCAGAGGATACATTTACTCTAACCACTGAAATTCAGGCTAACGTGATAGCGTTAATAGGAGTACGTACACAAAAGGATATCCCATGAAGAGGTGCAAATAACGACAAATCTAAGTACTTACTGCATTTCCAGACGAATAACGTTAGCGTTTGAGCAACTATTTCACGCTCTGTGTAGGGTTCTCACACCAAGGTTATAAACATACGCTTTACAGTTAATCTGAGTACACAGGCATATCGAATCTGGACACTCTCAAGTTTGCTGGAATCAATATAAGTACTAAACATTGCCAAAGAACTTTGATTACATTCCAGTACAAGCAGCTCACCTGAGCCGAGGCCTCAGAACTAGTCCTCACTCATCCTCCGACACACAGTAGAAGTGTATGTCTAATGAACGATTGAAGTAGTGTGGAAACTGAGTAGGATGAACTCAGGTCCCGGTAAAGCCCCCCCTTAGCTTTTCAGTGTTAATTCATAAACGTTAGACAGACAGTACAGTATCGATTTACACCCATACTGTGATAGTGCCAGAGACTAGCTCGCAGTGACTCAGAAATGAAATATCACCTGTCTACAGAAGCCGAGCTTGTGGCTCTCATAATCAAAAGGGAGACAGACTATGCCAAGGTAATTGCAGAGCGTGGCATTCTAGTACGGACCAGTCCAAGCGGTTCCCTGAATGTCATGCAGTCCCGGCTGGAGGCAGATCAACGGAAGTTACAGCGTGTTGTCTGCGCCGGTGTTCGTAACCCAAGACTACCGTGTTCACAACGGTGACCTCGATGACAAATCCAAAAGTAACTTCATTATCCAGTTCATTAGTCAGTTTCCTGCTTTCACTTCACTACTCTCTCTACAAGTCATGTATCGGTACAGTGTACTACCAGCTCGGAACATATGCCTCTCCCGATCCAGTCATATGTCACACTCTTCAAATGTCGTGCGTGACCAACTTTCGGCTACCCACACTCAGGCACGGGGAGTCGAACAGAGGCTCGGCCGATAACACTTCCCCCCCTACATTGGGTGGCCATATGCACTCGTGAGATCGTCAATCATTTCGCTCACGCCGTCTTCGTGTCTTCGTTGCTCCGGGCCTTGGCCCAGCGACGGAATAGCACGGGAACGTCTTCGTAGATCGATAGGTTCCCAGAACGACTCCAGATCGTCCAGGCCAAGCCACTTAATCAGGACTTCCCAGACCCCATCTCGCAGACCCAGGTCCCGGAGATCATCCACGTGAAAACCTTCATCGCCGAACACAATTAGGGCTTTAAATCTTCATTGACTTCACGTCCGCTTTCGCAGTACAGGCGGAGCCGGCACGCATGGTGGAGGGACGTCGCTCCCGGAGGCACCAGCTGCTGGACTTCCATCAGGTAGTCGGAGACCACCTTCACGACTCTAAAGGGTCCCTTCCAACGCAACGTTAGCTTTCCCGGATGCTGGAGAGCCCGGGCCACCAAAAAAAAATCACCCAGCCTAAATTTCGCCAGCTTCACGGAACGATGGTACCGGGCTTTAGCACGCTTTGCTGCCGCCGTCTCTGCCACGTGCTTGTGCATAAATCCCAGGGCATCTCCGAGCTCCGTCACGTGGCGTATCGCCCGGGACTTAAACCAGTCGATCGTTACGTCCCGGGTCTTGTCCCGGTGGACAAGTCCAGTCAAGGGAGGTGTTGCAAACAGGCCCGTAAACGCCGTCGTTGGCGCTACGCCATCCAAACGGTTGGCCGGTTGCTGATTCAGGGCAGACTGTACCAGGGGTAACACCCCCGGCCAGTCTCCGGGTTGCAAGCGCATCTTACTGCACAGGGTCTTCAGGGTCCGGACGACGATCCGGTTCACCACTTCAACTGTCCCGTTGGCCCAGGGGCAGTGTGGTCTGACAAAATGATGATGAACACCAAACATACGACCCAGGGTACTGACCAGTTCGTTCTTGAAATGGGACCCAGAGTCGGATACCCAGGTCCTGACTACGCCGAACAGTCCAAAGCATTCCATCAACGCCGCGGCCGTCTCTGCTGCAGACGCTGTCGTACTGGCATGTAACCGAACGAACCCACTCATGTCATCCTTGATGACCAGGAATATATTTCAGGCCTCCCGGAGCCTCCGGGAGCGACAGCCAATCGAAATGAATCAACTCATTTGGCTTCGTGGCATGCAGCGCTTCACCCCAGGGACGGGGTACCGACTCACCATCGACCACCATACAATGCAGGCAGGCAGTGACGAAGTTTTTCACGTCGGTCTTCAGGGTAGGCCAATCAAACATCTCCGCAACAGATGCCGTTGTCGCTTCCACTCTCCGGTGTCCCGCCACGCCGGCATGGGCCACCACACATATACGCACTTGCATATCCAATGCATCTCCCGGGATCCAGATCTTCCCAGCTGCCGTCAGAAAACACTTCTTCTCGGCGCTCCAGGAGGCGTATTTTTCACATGTCGGATGGCCGCGCTGCAATTCCGTGATCGCATTCGCCGTCGGCCACGCAAATTCTTCGTTCCACAACGGAGACACCAGGGCTAGTCTGGAAATCCGGGACTCCACCGGAACTCTCCGGTCCGGTCCAGGAGGACTTGCCCAACGGCTCAGGAGATCCACCCATAGGTTCTCCTCTCCCGCCACACACTCCACGACGTAGGGGAACGTCGTCATCGTCAACGCCCAGCGCTGGACCTTGTGGGCCTGGTACTTGGCCATGTTCGAGTTCGACCCCAGGGGGTTAAACATGTACACCAGATTCTGGTGGTCCATAAACAATCGGAACCCTCCCGGACAGATCAGGAGATACTCCAGCGCTTGCACGATTCGACAACCGCAAATGCCTCCTTCTCCACAATCGGCCATCGCCCGCTCGCTCCCCGGAACGATCCACTCAGGAACGCCAACGGTTCATGTCGCTGGTCTCTCGCCGTTAGGGCCACCGGATGTCCGCTTCCTTGTGGTGACTGGGACTGCCGCTGCGCAGTCGCACTGGTCCTGAGCCTTCCACTGTCTTCAAAATGGTCCACGTACGGTGCACGGGCCGCACAACTTGTCGAGCTATCCGACGGTATCCGACGGCGGTTGAGCTCGGACACCCGTGGTTGCTACTAGGTAGCTCTACGTCAAAGGCATGCTCGATTCCTGTTCCAGGGAAGTCCATGCGTTGTGTCTGTAAGACAGCTAAAGAATGCTTTGTTGTCTTGCGCTGATGTACGCAACCGAAGACTACCTTGTTCACAACGGTGACCTCGATGACAAATCCAAAAATAACTTCAGTGTCTAGTCAATCAGTCAGTTCCCTCCTTTCACATCACTACAGTGGTTGCCGGTAAAACCCGGCCAGTGCAACTTTTGCCCATGACTTGAAAATACTATGTTCAGTGGTATGGCGCACAATCAAAATATAATGAAAATCACTTCGTGCAACTCCGTGAAGACCACATGTATTGGCTAAAACTTAAGTCAGTGAGTCCGGATAATGCGCGTCGCACGCGTCGCAAAACCGGATAACGCGCATATTCGAGTGTCCGCAACAATCTCACACAATACATGACCATCAAATTGTTATGAATTAAATCTCAAGTACTGATGGGATCGCTTTATCAAAGGCTTTCACAATCGTGTCTGTCGAAATACGATCCCAGATCTTAATCGTCCGTTTCACTGTGGCCAAACGCTTCTCTTGTGCCGTCAAGATGTCGCCGTTGCGTTCGTCGTCTTCTAGCAACCACGCTGTCTTCAGCATGGCCTTCAAAGGACCCATCACGCCTACATCAAGCGGCTGACACCGGCTGGTCGAGTTGGGTTGCAGTGGCTCCAGAACACTGAACATCGTCTCCGCCACCTTGTCGTACGACTTGTCAGACACATGACATGCTAGATTGTCGACAAGAAGAACGGACGAGTCCTCCACGTCGCTGCCAGCAACTCATCAAGGTAAATGTCCCAAACTGCGGTCGTCCATCCATGCGCTCTCCTGGACCGCATAGACGTGTCCAGGAGGATACGTCGGCAGCTCGCTCGTGTCGATTGTGCCACCTGGCTTGCCCTTGATGATGAAAAGGATAGGTAGCTTGACACCTAAACACTCATGACGGAAATCATATTCAGGAAATGTCATACCGTCCGCACGAATCATCATCACCGCTGTCAATCGCTCGGAATGCTTGGTGGCCTTCTTGCATTTGCTGGACTTACCAATTTCGGCCAACGTC